TCATTAAACCAGTTGTAAATAGTCGCACGAGATGGGGCTTCATCGTGAAAGGCCAATCGTAGTCTATCATAACTTTCTTGTTGACTTAAATGACATCGAAAGTCATAAAAAATCATTGCACGAAAATTTTCTCGTGTTAAATTCATGATGACGTGACACAGACAATTTTCAATTTGCCGCCAAATCGTAAAACAAATGACAAATGAATGAAATATATACTCAGTAATATTGGCAAAGAGTTATATTTTCAAATTTTAGAATTATTTTTTTATTATATTGTTTATAAGTGGCCAGTTCTAAGAACTTTCAGTTTGACCCTCGTAGAATAAATCGTAATGTGAAATATCTCAGGCCTTAGCTAATGATATTGATAATCAAAGGTGAAAGTGAAACCAAGTTAGAACTAGTGGCAGACTTCTGGATACACACTAAAAACAAACACATAAAACAGAAAGAAATAAACATATATGCAAAAGGCACGCAACAATAGGCAAATTTTTTAAATGTAAATAACCAATTATAATATTATTTTTTGTTATGTAAATGTTCAAGTGCTACTAAAGAAGAAATAAAGATTTTGTTTCGATTTCAATTCAAATATTGTCAGTTTTCCTATTACAGCTGGTGTTTCCTTGTAAGACCAATGGAAAAATTAAGCTGAGGTACCTGGGTTTTACAACGAACATTTGCAAATCATAGAAATATGTATATTTCGTTTCTAGTTATAAATGCGTAATAGAAAAGATTTTTTAAATTATTTTATTATTATTTTAAATTAATTGATTACAAATATATCTACAATAATTGAATTGATGATTCGATGTAAACAAACAAAAAATCATTCCCCTTTATTAATATTAATGCTTTGGCCTTTCAAATAACGGACCCAATAGAAGGCCATTATAGGTGTAATTTTTATTATAATTTTATTCGAAAACACATTGGCAACTTACTTGTTAGCGATCTAATACTAAATACTATATTTAAAAAAAAAACCATTAATATATTCGTACACAAAACACAGACATTATATTATTTACTAGTTGTTTTATTAATATTTGCACTTTAAAATAATTATTTGCAATGTATTTAAGGAGGAGCCTGCCTCTCGTAACACAGGGTAACCTTATATGAGAGCAATTCACATTTTCTACTGAAAAAAGTGTATAAAATAAATAAATTTTCATTTTCATTTTTTTCATATAGTTTAACGATGGTGTTGAGAGTATGTTCGTTAAGGAAGCCTTTTTAAGGAAAATTATAATATGTTAAGCATTTAATGCTCCGTTTAAAGAAAGAGCTTTCTAGGTAGTTTTAGAACAAGAGGATATTTTGATTATCACAACTCTAGTTTTTAGTTGAGTAACTGATTTATAATATTGGCTTTGCATGGAGCCCTGTTTCTTGCAAGGCCGTTTGGAAGAGCTTAATTAAAGTAAAATTTAATTAGTAGTACTAGAATAAACATAAAAAAATTTCAAGTTACACAAAACAAAGCGTTACTTAAAAAAAGTTGCTTACTTTTAAACCGTAAATGACCTGTGAAAAATAATCCTACGTCAATTACGTAAGATTATTTTTGGGAGAGGAGTCGACCGTGTCTTATTTTTTCTTTTAATGTGGAGAGAGGTATTCTTGACAGTTCTTTAGATCACATGAACACGCAAAGCTATGGATATTATTCGATTATTCGTTTATCCTAATATGTAAGGACCTAATATTATTAAATAAGAATATTAGGTCCTTACATATGAATTTAGCGTTTTGTCGTACTAGCCACTTTAATCACAAATTTCTTCTCCATGGTTGGGAATTCCAAATTCAAATTTAGACGGCATTAATTTGTTTTTTTTTTTTATTTCTTCTGTTTGCTCTATTTACGTCACCCAATATAAAAAATTGAAAACTTGAAATATCGTGTTATTTATGAGCACGAGTTCCAAGGTGAAAATGGCTCGAAGGGTTAATGATGTGTATGGCTGTTGAGTCGCAAAAGAAAACACAGTGCGTTTTTGGTTCCAACGTTTTCGTTCTGGAAATTTCGACCTGCGTGCAGAACAAGCCCCGTGGACGGCCGGAGAGCCAAGTTAATAATGAAGAATTGAAAGCTATTGTGGAAGCGGATCCATCGCAAACCGTCCGAGTTAGCTGCAGGCTGCGGTGTTAGTGATAAAACTGTTTTAATCCACTTGAAGCAAATTGGAAAGATTACAAAGCTTGAAAGGTGGGTAGGTACCTCACGAATTGAGTAAAGCAAACCGGAAAACGCGCTTCGACTGCTGCGTTACATTACTTAACTGGCACAATAATGAAGGGTTTTTAAATCGAATCATTACCTGTGATGAAAAGTGGATTCTTTACGATAATCGGGAGCGCTCATCGCAATGGTTGGACCCTGGCATGCCAGCCAAATCCTCCCCCAAGCGAAAATTGACCCCAAAAAAGTTACTTGTAAGCATTTGGTGGATTAGTGCCGGTGTTGATTATTACAATTTTCTCAAATCTGGCCAGACGATTACGGCAGACGTCTATTGTCATCTGTCGGGTACTTTAATAATATTGTATGCGGATAATCATATAGATTCAATAAATCAGTCAGTTGCCAGCTATGTTTCATTGACGTTACATCAGCAATTGCAAACCATGCTGGAAAACTAGCTGCTAAACAACCGAGGCTAGTCAATCGCTCTACGCCACTGCTACTTCACGAAAACGCTATACCACACACTGCACAACAGATGACTACCAAATTAATAGAGCTTCAATTGGATTGTTTAAAACATCCACCGTACTCCCCGGACCTTGCTCCAACAGATTACCATTTTTATCGAAATTTGGCTAACTTCTTGCAAAGGAAAAAATGCAACTCCGATAGGGCAGTGCAAATCGCCTCCAAATATTTTATTGATCCGTCCGTCCGAATGGTTTTTTAATAAGGGGATCAATGAACTGCCTATGAGATGGCAAAAGTGCATAGATAACAATGGTTTATACTTTGATTAAATAAATATATATTTTAATATTATATTAAAAAATATTCGACTTTTTGTTCCTCCTATACAGAACACCAATTTCATATCATCATCAATTCATCCGAGAGACGCCCACTGCTGGGCATAGGCCTTCCCCAAAGATCTCCAAAGCGATCGGTCCTGCGCCTCCCGCATCTAGCGGCTCAGATCATCGGTCCACCTTGTGGGGGCCTGCCAACACTGTGTCTCCCGGTACGCGGTCGCCATTCCAGGACCTTACCGCCCCAACGGCCGTCAGTCCTGCGAACGATGTGCCCCACTGCCACTTGAGGTTGGCAATTCTTTGGCCTACGTCGGTGACTTCGTTCTTCTGCGGATTTCATCATTTCTGATTCGATCTCGCAAAGAAACCCCGAGCATAGCCCTTTCCATTGTTCTCTGAGCGACCTTGAGCTTCCTTATGAGGCCCATCGTAAGCGGCCACGTCTCAGCTCCGTATGTCATCACTGGCAACACGCACGAATTGAAAACTTTCGTCTTGAGACACTGCGGTAGATGTTCCGAGAATACACTGCGTAGCTTCCCGAACGCTGCCCAGCCGAGTTGGATGCGTCGATTTATCTCTCTCTGGAAGTTGGACTTACCTAATCGGACTATTTGTCCCACGTAAACGTACTCGTTGACAGCTTCCAGTGCAGAGCCTCCAACATTCACTGGAGTGGGTACGATATGGGAGTTTGATATTATTTTTGTCTTCTCCATGTTCATTTTAAGACCCACTTGCTGGGAAACTCTACAGAGGGGCATTGTGCCTAGATCTTTCATGGTCTCAGCCATGACTACGATATCATCAGCGAAACGAAGGTGCGTCATGTACTCGCCGTTTGTATTGATGCCAAGTCCTCTCCAGTCCAAAAGCTTATACACGTCCTCCAGCGCGGCCATGAACAGTTTCGACGATATAACATCGCCCTGTCTCACTCCACGGTGAAGTCGTATTGCTTTCGAGTTTTGGTCCTAGAGCCGAACTGACATGGTGGCGTTTTCATACAGTGACTGCAGCACTTGGATATATCGATAGTCTATTTGGCACCTAAGCTCGGCCCAGGTCTCGACGAAGTCAAAGGCTTTCTCATAGTCCACAAACACCAAGCACAGTTGCAGATTATATTCCTGGGTCTTCTGTATAACCTGTCGCAGAGTATAATTTCATATGTAAGGACCTAATGTTTAAGAAACAAATGGAAATGAGTCAGTCGGCTCTTGCTTTTTCTTATAAAGAGCTCCCTCTACAAAAACTGGCAAAAATCCTTTTACGTGCTAAATGGAAGACTTCATACCGTTCGGTTGGTGAAACACACCAACAAACACGCGTCGAATGCTCCATGTTAATCAACGGGAGAGTTTCAAACTACGTAGTGGAAAATAGATTCTGTACGACAATTCTTAAAAAAAATCTAATAAATTAATTAATTAATCAAAAACAAAAGTAATAATAACGAAAGCTTTTTCAGCTTGATTGAAAGTTTAAAATTAACAATTTTAATTTTAGGACACCATGTTTTAAACAAATAAATTATTATGGAAGTCGTCTAATTGTCACGCTTTAGTGCGCGACTATAGCATTCTCAGGTAGGTGACAGGGCAGAATAACTCACACTGACAGAAAGCCACCAATATACATTATGAATAATAGTACTCGGAAGTTGGAAAAGAACTTTTTGAAATTAGCGCACGATTACAAACTGTTGGTGCTTATTTTTCAAGTACTTGCTTTTTTTTTATTTAGAAAGAACATGGGATACCAACATTATAAAAAAACCGAAAAAAAAATAGACGTTATGATAGACCAGGATGTATGGCTTTGAGCCTTTGATTAAACAAAAATATATTAAACGATGCTCTATGTCATATGGCTTTGAGCCTTTGATTAAACAAAAATATATTAAACGATGCTCTATGTCATAAGAGATTCCATTGATATACACTAATTTAAAAAAAAAATGCTTGACATTGACATGATTGACATAATCACTAAGTCTGTGACATAATCATAATCAGCTGGAGTCGAACGAGTTGTGCTCGAAAGTTTGAGCCGGCTTATTTTGTTTTTAAATTAATTTGCAATAAACTATGGCAGCTCGTAATATTTTAAAATTGGGAGCATTGGAAGCGCCAAGAACCGCGTTTCTATTGTGTGATATACAAGAAACTTTTAGGCCTCACGTTAAACATTTTGGTGAAGTTGTGAAAGTTGCAAATAAAATGGTTAGTAACTATTAACTTATCATTTATATTACGTAATGTCATTCTACCGTTTTTCATTGCGTATAGAATTAACATGATAAATTTCTCTAGTAAATCGGGCCATAGAAATTACTAAAGCCATATTTATTGTGAAAGAAAACAAAAGATACAATGTTCAACAATTGAAGCTTAGGACTTAAATTAACCAAAGAAATTTTCTTAATTTAAGCCAGAGGGATATTGTACAGTTTTACCCATTCTAATAATTATTCTTATAAGTTTACCTATTACAATAATAAATATGTAGTACTGAGTATTTACTACTTTCAGCACTATTTAAAAAAATATCACAAGATTACACTACTGATTTGAACAAAAATATCAAAACATAAAATCACTGTATCTTTTACCCAACATTTTACTTGTCAATGACCACTAGTAATTTCCTTCTTGTAATTGTACTATTCTTATAAATCAGTGGTTCGTTAACCCTTTCATCCATTTCAACCATTCTACATATTTCTCTTATATACCTTGCAATCAACCACCTACTTTGTTTATTATGCATTACCTCAATGTAGATAAATAAAGTATTATGCATCTATAAATAATACCTCTGCTTCCCAGACAACTTGAGATCCTTCCAAGGTCCACCCGCTATGGGTAAACTACCAGCAGTGGGTAAACCACCAGCTATGAACCATTGTTTTACATAGTAAAAACATCTAAACAACCTAAATAGAATTTAACTTTGAAATTATTTCCTTAATAGTTTGTTGGTTTGATGAATTATAACCTAATCACATCATATTATTTTTATATTTGGTAACTTTTGGAATTATAGCTAGAAGCAGCGAAACACTTCAAGATACCAGTTTATGTCTCGGAACAATATCCAAAAGGTTTGGGGCATACCACAAAAGACATAAAATTGGAAGATGCAACAATGGTTTATGAGAAGACCAAGTTCTCAATGTACACCCCCGAACTTCAAGAACGTTTGAAGAAGGATGTACCAGATTTGGCATCTGTAGTCCTGTTTGGTATTGAGGTGAGTTATTTCATTAAAACTCTGACTATTAAATATACTATTATAGTAAAGCAAAATTGACAGTTACAAAAGAAAAAGTTTGACATTAAAGAATTGCATATGTCTATTAATGAGATATCATTATTTTTAACTAGAACTTTAAATCAAAATATGTTCTATATTCAAATAAACATATTTGGAGCACTTTTGTATCATACAATTTTTTTTAACCTATCACCCATTCAGGACATCTTTTGGCAGACTATCAAAATAGTTTCATTTTGAGAGCATTATATCTTTTTTAATGTTTCACGATTACAAAAACTTGTTACATTTAGAAAGCTATTGCGCTCATATTTGATGATCTTAGATTAAATCTACTATCTCAGATAGTGTTGCAAGATGTCCTGTGTTTCAAGTATAAATTTAAAATTCCCACTGGGACCAACTCTGCCCTGTATCTCAATTTGATTTCACAAAGGGTTTGAAACAGCACTAATGTACGAATCATATGTCCAACTTACAACAAAAAGCGTATTAATAATAATATTTAACTATGATTATAATAGGGAAGACAACTTACTTTTGTTACTTAGTCTGTCAGCCAGTGTTGAAAAATATTAAACATGTATTTTTTTCGTAATCATGAAATTACGACGGTACATTGAGTTTAAAAAAAAATAAAAAAGATATGGAACCAACTATAAAAAATTACAAATCTTGCACAGTAAAAAGTAATGAGGTAACAAACAGAAAAAAAAATAGTAGTATTGATAACTTCCTCCTTTTTTTAAATCGATTAAAAATGTCAAATGACGTCATGCTTTTGTACATTTTCTACAAAACCGACCTAGCGAGCCCCACTTTAATGCTTGTTATCTAAGCTATTTCTTGATAAATTGAAGTACAAAAATATGTATCTAATATTTTTCTTTTATCTGAATGACGAACTAAATAGAATTTATTTTGTTTACCCAGTCGTCATCACTATTGTAATGATGTTTTAAATAAGTCAAATCCAACAAAAATATGTTAAAATATGCGCTTTCATCTAAAGAATATTAAAAAACATCATAGTAAATAATTTGTCCCAGTTAAGAAATCGAAATCGAGGCTTAAAAAAAATCTGGAAACCCTAGTGGTAGAGTACATTATTACATACGGTTTACAAAATCTGCCAAATAAAATTACTTGTTAAAAGCAATAACGTAAAAAGTTCCTTAGTTTTTCATATTGGTAATTGTCAGCTAGGGCTGCTTAGGAATCAAAGCTAACATTTTTAATAATGCTATGTTGTGTCACTTTTCAGGCCCATGTGTGTATAGAACAAACTGTCATTGATTTTCTGAGTGAAAATATTAATGTCCATGTCCTTGCTGATGGGGTTTCATCCAGATCTTTAATGGACCGTGGTCTTGCACTACAGGTATTTATACTATTAAGCTTCTGTTAACTTAGGTGCAGATGGTATTAGGTTAGGTCATATGAATCTTTAAGTCTAATAAGTGTCATCATGTCTCATAATGCACAATGTAATTTATAATAAGTTAAGTAAACAATGGATTTATAGTGCTTGCCAGCCAAAAAGGTGAAAAGCCACTGGTCTACAGCTTTAAAATGCTTTATTTATTTATTAATTAAACTTTATTGACCAATAAGAGAAAAAGGTACAAAAGGCGGACTTAATGCTAATGGCATTCTCTCCCAGTCAACCTTTAGGAAAAACGATAAACGCGATGGCGGCATTAAGAAAAGATTAACTATGCGTAGACATGCATAGAAACTGGCTAAAATAACATACAACTACATATATACATACAATAGCACAAATATATAGATACATAATACTGGTGACATAGATTACATAGTTTAGTACAGATTTGAAGAATCAAAGAGTTCATCAAAGAGTGCTTAGTTCAGTTAAATATATATTTTTTTAATATATATTTAGTTTAATATATACTAACTTTAATATATTTTATTTTTTTCATTATTTCATTTCAATTCTTCATTAAATATTATCAAAATAGGACAACAGTTTATAAAAAAAAATAGCATTTGTATTAAACAAACCATTTGATCATTTAGGTGGTCTTAATTCCAAAAATCATAACCATAACTCAAACCATGAACGCAAACTAATAATAACTGTACGTCACGCAAGTTCAAAATTTAAACATTCGTATTAATTCCATCTGATAAGGTGCTGTCCACTTATTCCGAAAGATAATTCAGGAGAGAAGTCAACCCATCTTTTTTTTCTTATAAGCAAACATCCCAGATCCGCACGACATTACTTATTTTCTGATTGACAAAACGTTTAGGGTACTGTCAGTCTATCTATATACTTACATCGTATGCCTATCTGCTAGCTTAGCTCAACTGCAAATGTGCAAGCCAACAGCTAAAAATATTCAATAAAAATTAATTGAAAATAGATTATCAAAGTAGATTTTTACAATATTTGAAAATTTGTACTTTGTCGTAAAAATCAACTTTGCTAATCTATTTTGACAGGCGCTTCAACGGAATCTTTGATACTTCTACAAGTAGTTACCGCCGACGAGAAGTGCTTGCTTTATTATTTTGTGATAAAGTCACCGTCGAACTCAACGTCGAGCACAACACTATCACAGTGCAGAGGTTCAATCAAATAACACCTTTATTTAACCGAAGGGAACTGAGCCATAACTCCTCATCGACCTGGACAAGAGTCTAGACCGGGACTCCCCAACTGCAAGGGATGGTAGTCCAGTGCAGTTAGTCTACCCGTCGAAACCCACCATTTCACCCTGGGATCCTGGTAACTAGCAAGGGATGTCCAGGATAATCCGGACAAAATCAAATAAAACGGGCTTCAAAATATATAAAAGGCATTATTTGATTGAACCTCTATGGTATGACGGCTTTGTACTCGACACTAAGTTGCCGCAAAGCTGAATCAGCCATCACAATTTAAGAAAAGTGAGATTTCGGCAAAATAACCTTCAGACACAGCTACCAGACAAGCATACTTACGATCTAATTACATACTAATACTACTCTTTACCATGGGCGTGTAGCATTTACTTGGGGGTGAAGCACAAAAGAAACTCGACAAATCAAATTAATTTCAAATGCTCTTTAATAAATAACCTTATTTCAATAATGTATGAGAATTCTGGGAGATGCGAGTGAAAATTTCGGTTTTATATTGAATTATAATGTTTAAACACTAGATAATATTTGTCTTTCTTTTTTAACAATGTTAAATATTACACTTAGATTCAAGTGAGAATTGAGGATGGGGCAAGCCCCCATCATACAAACGCCCATGCTCTTTCCTTAACATTGTCCATCAGAAAATAAATCAATAAATATTACTTTCTTCCCCGTTTAAATTCTTACTCAATAATTATCGGGGGAAAGGGATCAGTCGATCCTTATTTATTCTTACGTAATAAATGGAAGACTCTCTTGATCGTGTCACTAATCACTCAAAATATCTAGTTAACAATTATACGGTTAGTAAAAAATATATACCACTCATCTGTTCAAACCAAATTCATGTTTTCATACTATAAAAATGCATTCAGACAATCTTATCTACAAAAATCCTTTTTGAATCATATTTCATACAACAATGAGTCATAATTCATTGGACCTATAAATCATTAACAATTCCCGCAACAAATTAACAAAACGCCTACCCTCCTCCTTTCCAGCGCATGCGATCAGTAGGAGCTTTCATATCGACTTCCGAAGATGTTCTATTCAAGTTGCTGCGAGATAAACAGCATACCGGTTTCAAGCTAGTGTCCAAATTGAGCAGGCAGCCCACCGCAGATACATTGGGCTTCGATGTATCAAAGCTTTAAAAAAATAAAAACTTATTATTTTTACTATGACAAGCATATTTTACTTTTAAAAGTTTGCAACCTTCATGTTAGTATTTTTTGTAAAAAGGTTAAAATGTCTATTTTTTTTTTACTTATTTGTAATAATCTCTATTTAAAATTTGTTTACAACACCAGATTACAGTCAATGTACAGACAACAGCGCGTCAGGTTACCACGATATGTCAAACTTCCGTCAAATGCCCGAGTAAAATGTATCTCGAGAATACTTTATGTATTATTATATATGCAATAAATAACTGAATCGAATCTAATAAAAAAGAAAACAACAAAGCAGACATCAATCAAAAACATTTTGTCTACACAAATCTCAAAGAAAACAGTGCACCACTCAATCCAATTAAAATGTAACATAGTAGTTTAGTTTTTTCACAACTGAAAACCCAGTTTGACAGATTTGTTTGGTTAGTTTTGGCAGTTTAAATTTAGTTTAATATATCTCTAGTAAATAAACAAATAATTATGTCTTCATGAACTTCACAACTACAATATAAATTATTTAAGAATGCAAATACAATTAATGTGTACATTCACACAATATTCCTCCTTAATGTTAAAGGATAAAGTTTATTTTCAAGTAATCATCGTCAACCCCTTTTTACGTTAAGGTGGATGGGCCATAACCTTCCACGCTGGTCCAATGCGGACTGGAGGATATTAAAGACTGTATAATAGCTGGGACCGACAGCTTAACGTGCCTTCCGAAACACGGGGTAGCACGAGATATTTTTTTTTTCACCCATCCCAGGACCGAACCTTGCGAAAATTGCTTAGCAACAATGATCGCGCACCGCGACTCCACCAAGCTACATACTCAAGTGATAAAATGCACTAACACGTTGACTCTTTACCTACATGTCTGTCAAGGAAATCTGCCTTTTCAGAGATTACAAAACCTCGGCTGCTTCGTGGGATCATCGGAGAACATTCTTTTCAAATTGTTGAGGGACAAGAACCACCCGGCATTCAAGCAGATATCAAAACTTAACATGACGCCCACGCCTGATGAATTCGGCTTGAAACTATGAAAGATGTTTAATAAATAAACTAACCAAACCGACTACACATTGAAATCGAATTAGAGATGAAAATGTACCCACTAATTTTCAAATGTTACAGTAAATTCCAACGAATATCACACATGGCTATTTTTCGTTTGCATGGTGCAGATTTACCAATTCGGACGATGACCGACTATAAAATTTAATGTATAGTACGCCTTATTTCAATAATCATAACGTGTAAAATACAATACATTGGGAGTTTTTATCACTTACCTCACGCTCAGGCTGAGCGGAGGTAAGGAGCGTGGATATTGATGGGTCGTCCGATAGCGTGATACTTGGATCATTCTGATTGGCCAATATTTGATGCGCTTCGAATTTACTCTTCTGCACATGTACATCGATGAACCATATGAATTATATCTTACTATAACATTATTACTCCACACCACATAAGTTCTTAACAACATCCAAGAGAGAGCATCTCGACGCCTTATATCTCTGGTGCGATTGTCAAAGAAAGATGTACATAATAACGTGCGAGCGAGGTCAGTTTTTATTGATGTAGGTATGAATATCACATATTAAACGTTGTTTTTCTTTAATGATTTTTATGCCTCATTATTATAAAAAGGTAGAAGGTACTAAAGTACCTGTAAGAAGAAGCTTTAATTGTTATTATTCTTACCATTTGTAAAAACAGGTTTATTTATGATATAGATTACTACCAATCCGGTCAAACCATATATTATTGTAGGTAGGTACTATTAAAACTAAAATAAATAATTGTTATGTTAAATATATATGTAATTATAAGAGTCATATTGTAGCCTAATTTAGCAAACCTTACCAACAGAATTCTCTGACTTAGGCATAGCCATTTTTGATCACGAAAGGACCCCGCCTTCCTGATCTAAAATGCCTGGGCCTCAATTCTAAACGACTGGCGAAACACCTCATATATTCAAATTATTTTTTTCTTAGTAATATTCCCCAATAGATGTAAGTTTAAGCAGGTTTAGGTGCGCCGCATTTTTGAATAAACAAATTGTAGCTTAGAATTAGCAAGAATAACTAATACAGAGGTTCGAGAAAAGGCCGTGTCCACAGAAATAAATCTAGTGTCCTTTTTTGCTTATTTGTTCGACTTGGCAGGGACATTTCCCTGCCCCCAGATAGATATTGAATATAAACTATGAAACGATGTACCTATCTATTATTATTTTCATGATAAATAATTCTTGTCAAATATGTATTTTTATTATACAATGAATTGCTGACGCACGCAACATTCTGATTTATAGCTGTGTTTTTCGGTAAATAAAATTATGAATGAGAAAAGCATTCAAAATATCATCTTTATTTAACATAAATGCGTTGTGATTGTGTCGATATACATTGTATTTGTACTATTAAGTGTCAGGAGCGTTGCCATTGCTACGGCAATTACCGTGTCTAACCATAATTGGACACAATTTAATTCAAAACTACGATTATTCAGCAGCTATAATTTAGCTAAGTGCCAAACCAGAAAATATAAAAGGTTCGTCCTACCTTCCTCTCGGCATTCTGTGGTCCTATCTCTGACTGAGAACTCAGGGGAATCCCCTAAACGGGTGTTATGTCTAGGCACAAATTCCACTTATGTTTTATTGCTTCTTAAACTATCAAAATTATTAAATAAAATTAAAATAAATCAAGTTTATCCACTTTATTTGTTACGGCAGCCGAGCATAGCTTTTGCTTCAAAACACGGCAGCAATAAATAACCACAGACTTTCGTCTGTAACACTCGTGGTCAGCTCTTTCGGTCAACATGTTATCGGCTTTTCCCTTTTTTTCCGTCGTCCTATTATTTTCTGTCGCTCAAAACCTAGTTTTGCTAGAGGGAGAGAAATAGCTTCCTGTATTGCCTATCACCTCAGTATAATAAATAACATCTTGTTGCATTTCAAGCGGGAATACATACGGCAATACACAAAAATATTCAAAGTTTCATGAAGACGAAACAGAAAATGTCTATCTCCTTTTCACACTTACAGACTGTGTATACATAGTATACAGTCATTAAACAAATAATAATATATTAAATTTAAGACAGTTTAAGTACTATTGTAAAGAATATGAACCACAACCATAACACATGAATATTTTCTGTAAAGTTCGCGGAATCTACGAATGTGTTAACAGGTGTATGGGTACATTAGTACTTACTGATATTCTGAATTCGTATTTAAAGCAACATGCATATATTTCAACAACATATTAACTGTTTACAGCATACAAAATGAAGCTCACAATTTTGGTATGTACTTCTTTTCAACTGGTATGTATGTTCTTCTATTTCTCCGCAAATTGTAGAGCAACTTCTATTGAGTCAAGCAGTTAATATTTATTTAACGTACACAAAACCTTCGCCCATCTTTAATAGAAATTGCTTGAACCTATTAGCCACCTTTGAGATAAGTAAAATTTTTCACATATTAAATCAGTTTTATTTTTTCATTTAATTTGTTTTTTACCTGATATATAATGGCAGAAATACATTTTTGTGTCGTGTAGTGTCTTGGTGAGCCAGAAGCATGACAGTTTTACAGATTTACTATAGTTAATTTATTTATTATAGGTACCGTGACAAAACAAATCGATTTCTAATGTATAAAAAAAAAACATTTTAAATCTTATTCCTTGGCATATAAGAGTTCAATTTAAAAAAAAATATCTTTTATATTGTTTTGTAATCTGAATGACGAAAATAGAGCTGGTATAATTAAAGCTACATATTTACCACATTTTTTTTTTGGTGTGCTAGGACAACGCAATACCTACTGAATGTCTGTTACCATTTTGTCTCTCTTTCTAGATATGTATTGCTATGGTTCACTTCACGAACTCCCAGAAGACTGAGTCAGCAGTTGCTCAAGTATTGGGGCCAGGACAAGCAGCAGCTGCAACTGGAAATGGAAAAGCATCCATTGTGAACAATGTCGCAGCGGTGCAAACAGCTCTTCCTGTATCTAACTCAGCTGTCTCTGCCCAAAATCCTAACTACGCCTATCCTCCATATCAACCCTACCGCCCCTATCCTCCATATCCTCGTTATCCTAACTATCCCATACCTAATCCGAGTGTTTCATCTCCCACTCCTAGCGTGAACCCACCCGTCTCTTCTACTCAAAGTACTTCTCCTACTCCAAGCGGAACACCTCTCTCCAATGCCTATCCTCCCTATGTCCCATATCGTCCATACCCGCCTTATCCTGTATATCCCAGTTATGTTTAAGAGTAAATGACTCCCTCTCCTCCTAATGCCCTAAGTCGATCCTCCAGCCACATAATCTTTATTGGTGTTAGACTGCGCATTCCTAACATCACTTCCAATCCTTAATAATACTTATTTACAAGACGGAAATAAATTAAGACATGCAAACATTAAATAAACGTTAAATTCAAACTTGTGCTATTTTCTTTTATTCTCAAATACTTAGTAAGCCCTAGAATAAAAACAAAAATGTATAGGTACTCTGTTACAATAAAATTCAAGCAACTAAGAACAATTTTACTTAAATTGTAATCTTATTGAATATATTACTAATTCGAAATACTTGTTATTAACTTATAAGTTGTCTAATTAGTAGAAAAGCATATAGTTGTTACACTATGTTTCAAAACTATCGTTTTGCATAATGTGTTGATCAAGATTCTAAAATTAGTAGAAAAGCCGATAATTGGTACAATAGGTATGTTTGAAAATTACTGTGTTGCATAGTGTGTTGTTCAACATTATAAGCTCATAGTTTTTTGTACTTACACATAAATAATACATAATAATATTGTTAATTAATTATACCTATTTCGCATTCACAATGCTATACTGGAAAATATTCTTAATGAACTCTCAATGGCACTCTGATATGGGATCTGGGATGTGATTCCAGGGACAAAGTGGATTTTCAAGCATGTTTCATTAATAATATTATTAATATTCATTTGGTAGAAAATTACATTGTTTTCTGTAAATGTAGATGCTTCTATTTGAGCTAATGTGCTTATTTTGCTCGTTCTTTTTATCAGCCAAAAGGCGTCCTGCACGCGTGGTATGACCGACCTGGGAAAGGCTTTGTCTACAGCCTCTTTTCTCTGGTCAAAAGTAAGATCGCATATAGAACAGAAAAGTGTCATTAGAGCGTAGAGAAAATGTTCTCGTAGTTCGTTATGCAACTCGTCCGGGGGTGCGACTGCTTAATACTTTCTAGTCATAAGATCTTAGTGATGGTGGCGATATTTCGGTGCATTTTACTTTTACATGTACTTGATCCAACATGAATGATGATTATGGATTTGACAAAATGTTACCAACTTAGTCATTTATCTGCCAGAAGACATGTCAATATAGTAAAATAAAACCAAATATCACCATGACATAGCATTCACTGGATATGGTAGGTACTTATGGCGTTGCCCTGTATTATGGACATTATAACGGAATTCATAAATAGATCAATTCAAACATCTAAGTTTCCTGCTTTATGGAGGAGAGCTATAGTGAAACCAATACCTAAAAAGGCCACCCCCATAGATTTTAAAGATTTGCGTCCAATTAGAATTTTACCTTGTCTATCTAAAGTGCTAGAGAAGGTAATCGCTGCTCAGCTCTCAAAGTATCTTGAGACGTTTAACATTTTGCCGGACAGACAGTGGATTCCGGAAGTACCGTGGTACTGCAACTGCGTTGTTGGATGTAACTGATTCTGTTTTAGCAGAGCAGGATGGAGGAATGGGAACAGTTATAGTACTATTGGATTTTTCGAGAGCTTTGATGCATTAAATGTATCCCTAATGTTATCGAAGTTATCATATTACGATTTTAACAGTAAAGCTTACCTCTCCGGCAGATCACAAATTGTGGAGTTGACAAGAGAAGATGGTACGACCAAATATTCTCATGAAGCAGTGCTAAGAAGTGGCATTCCACAGGGTTCAGTGTTGGGTCACACTTTATTTATTCTTTGCAGCGCTGATATAGTTTCTGTCGTGAGGCACTGCAAATTTCATATCTATGCAGATGATGTGCGGATCTATCTCTCCTTCAAGCCCAACGAAGCACGAGAGGCGATAACAAAAATTAATGATGATCTCAAGAGTATTTTTG